AGAAAAGCGCACTACTGAGAATGAAAGAGGAGTCTATTAGGTTCCAGGGACACAAAAAGGAACGTTTTAACAACCACTGTAATTCTAGAACGAATTGGTTTACATAGAGACAAGGTTAAGTTGCATAAAAGGTACTACATGAAACCGTGAGACAAACTGACGAATTAACACCAGTTGCTGCAGTCCCACTTTCCTCAAGGGGAAGAACTCTAAAAATATACTTTGAAAAATCACTGAATACAATTGGCAGCCATTTCCGTCTGTGGTGGTGTTCCTACACAGGAACTGTGCGAGAGGTGGGTGGAATGGAGAAGGTGTTCAAGTACGTGTGGTCGATTGTGGAAAGGATGTAGGGCATTACGAATACATGAATTCATTTCCACGCCGCCGACTCACCAAAAGGCAACCGCATCGCCTCAACCCTCCGTTGACGCCTTCCAGTGAGAGCACCGAAAGCACTGAAACCACACAACCCAGCACAAAGCCTGCTGTCCTCTCTTCACACTGTTGATTCAAACATTACAATCATCGCAATCGCCACAACCACTCCCACACGCATTCCCACATCTCGTCCCCTTCCCTTTCTTATACCTGCCACCACCGATCCTGGCACCTGGCGACTTTTGAGGCAACTTCATAACATAAAGTCCTAGAAGACGAAAGAAGACACAATACTCGGGCAGAATATATGTATTCAGCACGGAGAAGGTGTCTGGGCTATTGGCATGGTTCAAAAGGCCAGCCCACCCAGCGAGTTACAAGGGAGCTAATCCAAAGTACATAAGTGGCGCCTCACCAGAACCGAGGGATAAACCACTATCGTATTACAATATATTACGAAAAGATTAACCCTAATATAGTTCGTTGAAATGTAGCGCGTTTCAAGCATTTGATTCAGATTATCTCATCATATAACGCACAAGACTCGAAAAGATGCTGGGTAAAGCCGTTTAAATAACATCGATTTTTAACAAAAAATACAAATGCATAGGGTGTAAGCGTGTCCCATCACGTCCTTCTCGTACGAGCCGTCCTAACAAAATGCCCATTAATTTGCAATGGGTCAAGCATGAAAAGTGTGTATTAATTAACCACAATGAAAGGACTCTGAATTAGCAAGGTACAAAATATAAACCCAAATCTTTGTATTAGAAAATAGTTAAATCATTTTTCATAGTCGAGTAAACTATTAAACAGAAGACGTAGAAGTATTATAAAGTTTCAGGTTTTCTCTTAAATTGTTATTGGAATGATTGGAAATAACGCATTTGAGTTTTGCATTAAAAATTACACTTAAAGTAACAGATTACCTAGAACATTTTTCTATTAAGGAAATTTGTAAGATTTTTAGCCGAAAATGATAAGTAAATGGGTTGCAAATAATAATCCGTTCTCTCGAATCGGCCAATAACCTCAAAAGTCAGAGGCGGTAATTTAAAAGTTGTCTTGGTGTGCTGTTTTAAACCTGCTCATGGCTCAAATGGATTCTGACAGTAAATATCGAGCCAAATGCGCGAAATGCAGTCATCCGAGTCGTTCATTCTCTAAAAGCACCATTAGAATGGACTTCTTGAGGGTGGAGGCGCTTGTTTAGCCCCGTGTGTTCAGTGGACAAATGAACATTTGGCATGGTTGCAGTTGCTTTGTCAAGGAATTAAAAATGTTTAAGAAAGTGGTGTGAATAATCTTGGCTAGGTGCAACTCGAGGATCGAAGAAGGATTCAGGAGATAAAAGTGGATGATTTCAGATTCTTAATTTCCGTGTTAAACCGAATATACATAATTCAGACAAATGTTCGATTTGTCAGAGGAATGAAGGTGTTGATGCTTTTGTTGATTTTTGAAAGGCAGGTAAATCTGTCAGGTCTGTGGTGCAAGTGTTTGTGTCATCAGGAGAAAAGAAGTCATCTGATTTGCGGTGGTAATTTTTTCCATTGAGGCTGACAAGAAACCTGTAGTGCTCTTCTAGAAGAAGAAGAAAATAGAGAGCATAGTGACCCTCTCCCTGTTATGAAGACATGCAATTAGAGCGCAGATACACGAACACACGCCTACATGCACGCACTCACGCTTACGTGTCACTGCGTCGTAACTTCACATGGATCCGTGGCGGTACAACTACTTACGTCATGGTTCACAAGTCTCTGACAACATTCCCTCCAGAGCAGCACACCTACTCGTCTATCCATCTCCACTAACTAGCACACCTTCCACACACAG